ATAGTATATTGTCAAAAAGTGCTTTTTGGAAAGCTGTGATATGTGAACAGACAATTACCAGCTGCATTAGCCTTTCAGCTAGGCTAGCTTTGGTGAAATCACACTCCATAACTTGCATTGACACTTGTCTATGAATTGGTTGATTGTTTCATCTGGCTGTTACTGGTCTGACATGAGTTCAAGCCTGTGTATCATGAAAATGGTTCAAAATTTAATTTCTTCTTGTAAACTTTAAAAAATCTTTACAGGATCTTTGTTGAATTTCATCAGAACTATGATTCTTCTTAGTCCTTCACTTCCCTATTTGAGAAGAAGCGTGACTCTGTGCTATTCTTTATCAGCTACTTGTAGTTCTTTCTTCAGAATCACTGGACTTGTGTGTTAACTCTGTTTCTCTCAACACCAAAGCTGCCAGACCTGCAGAATTTATGTAGTAATTTCTGTTTTTGACTGTTTTAGATCTTATTTTATTTTATAGCCTTTAGGTTTGTGGCACATTAGTCTTGGTAATAGTTGTAACTTAATCTCTGAACTCAGACAGATAGATAAAGTATTTTTACAACTACCGAATTGATGTCAGCTTTTAAGCCTTTAATATCAATTTTTACCACTAGCTGGCCGCTATAGTGAATGGTCACACATTTGTAAATCTGTTCTACAGCCAGCTATTCACGAACTGCAATATGAAACACTCACCCATTCCCTTCACAACCCACTCCTCTCTCTACCCCAATATTCTCATCACATACTTATGCCTGATTTTAATCAGCATTTGTGGGGTTAATCTGTTCCTACCTGATTAAGGACCATGAGTTAAGTTCTTCCAATAAATAGATTCTGTGATATTTTTCAACTTGACTAAGTAACAAAAGGAAAGTGAAAACTTCCACAGTAAATAATTTATATGGAAAATATCAGAACAAAAAGTGAAACTATAGTTACAACTTAATTCTTGTACAACTGCTGAGGAACAAGAGAAAATGATCTAGCATTTTACCTTTTGACTTTAAAGAAATCACCTGTGCAAATACCCTCACAATTGTAAGTCAGATTTAAATCTGTCAATGGGCATGAAGCCTGCAGTACAAAGATATGGGAGACGTAGAACATAATGCTGAATGCAGGTGATTTAGCTCACAAAGCCTGCTCCGGTTAACTAAACCTATGTGTTTGCTTCATTTATGTCTTTTGTGAATGCTACAGTGTGAACAAGTAGGTGAATAGACATATCGAAGGTATCTTTTTAACCTGAGTTCATTTACCTGTGCAGCCCTCTACGTCGTTATTGACACAGTTTCCCCATCTGATGGCATTAAAGGTATTAATCTTCAAAGAATGGCCCCTTCTCTGCATGTTGATGTGAATATGTTTAAAGAAGAAAACTTTTCATTACTTTGTGTGGGTGCCAAGTTTTGTTTGAAATACGAAGAGCTACATTTAGCTGCATGAGCGAAGTTCTTTAAAAATTAAATGAAAGGTGGAATGTCATTATTGCAAATCCTTGAAGATTATACTCATGTATTTGCATTGATCTCAGAAGCATAACAATGACACAGTTAACTGATTTACTCACAGTCTGACCTATACATCAGTATTACCAGTTTCACTATTGCTTCTACTTTTCAAATTTTCTATGCCCAGCTTAATCACTCAACTTATATAAAGGAGTTCCGAGCACATGTCTGACTTCATATGTTAAACTCCTAATATGAACGGGAAGTTTAGCTGCAATATTTTCCACCATCAGGAATGATTTATTTCAGAGACCTTACAGCAGTTGCAATTTTTATTGAAGATATACCGTTAAATTTTATGTAAAAACAGAAAATGCTTGGATTAGAAACCCAGGTCATCAATATCCAAAAATAAGATGGTTTAACCTTTAGCGAAGCCAAGAAGTAGAATAGTTAAAACCAAAGAGGCTAGGGAAGAGCAAAGCTGACTTAATCGACAGTTCTTACTATCTGTTCATTTGTTTCAGGTTGTTTCTCAGAACCACTGCCTATCAAATCCACTGCTCCATCTTCACGTAGGTTAGCAGAATTAGCATTGGCATGATTTGGCCATTGAAACGTGAACATACTGCTTTGTCCATGTGTAGATCCTGCTGTGGGAGTTTCAGCTTCTGTGCTCTTTGCACATGGGGCAAATGGTCCTACTACAATATATGTCACTGATGTACGCTTTTCCATCAGCATGGGTGATACTATTTTGCATCACGACTACAGAATCAGAGGACTGAAGAAGCTCAGTGTGTTTGTGTGGAAACTTTCATGGAGAATCACTTCAGTCTGTAAGAAGTCATGGGGACATATGTAGTAGACTTGTAAAAATGGCTCTGCACAACTATTAGATTGAATACAGGCCAGTAAGAGTTGCACCAACTGTGAAAGATTGCCACCTCAGAAGTTAACACGTATGCATTTAAAAATTACCTCTGTAGACAGAAAGTGTAACTATGGAAGTCCTAGTGAAGTGGACAAAAGAAGCAATAGCGCCTTGCGTTTATGTAACACCAACAGACAAACATCCCATTCAGATTTAGGGAGTTGTAATCTTAAATTGGCATGGAATAAAAGATCGTGATTATAAGAGGGATGTCAAGAAGTTTGGTTAAAGAGATTGATAGTTTTAAAGGAAGAAATAGAAACAATGTTTACGGTTATTTGAAATATTTAAATTACAATTTAAACCTTTGTATTTTGTAATTCCTCAAACAATGAAGTATTCTGCATTCATCAAGACCTGGCAACATCTAGGCTTGGCCTCAAAAGTTATTAATAAGATTCACACTGCAAAGGTGCCAGGCAATATCTGACTCTAATAAAGGACAGCCTTACCTTTCATTGGCTTTACCATTACGGGTTCCCCACTATCAGCAATGTTTACTACTGGCCAGTTGACCAGCCATATAAAAGCCACGGCTACTGGCTTGGGTGAGAGGCCGAGTATACTGTATTTTATGGCTCATCCTATGACTCCACAAAGCCTCTCTGCAACCTACAAAAGTCAAATTAGAAGTGTGATGGAATACTTTTTATGTGTCTAGATGAGGTCAACTCAACATCAGACTATTGTTCCTATAGTCCACTTAATGGGCTCCCACCAATCGCCTTAAACATCCACCCCCTCCATTACCAGCACATCTTGGCTACAGAGTATTCTATCCACAGGACTTAGACTTCCTTTGTATTACTTATTGCTATCCAAAGGACAAAGGAAGCAGGTTCATGGGACCACAAAATTTATAGGTTCCCACCAAGTTTGTTTCTTCATTATTGCTGCATCAAAAGCATGGACCAGCACCCCCTTCTTTCCTCCCATGACACCTAAAAACATTTTAAGGCACGCCTACACAGATTGTGACTATTTAAGAAGGAAACCCACCATCGTATTTTCAACTAGAGGTAGCCAGTAAATCAAAAACAAAATACTACAGATGCTGCTACTTGCAGAATACTGTGCAAGTTTACAGCCTCTGTGGAGTGAGAAACATGTGAACGTCCAGACAAGGAGTAGGAGTAGCCATTCAGGCTCTTGAGTTTGCCATTTATTAAGATCATGGCTGATCTGATTGTAACCTTAAATCCACACTCCCACCTACCCATCATAAGCTTTCACCCATTTGCTAACCAAGAATCTGTCTACCTTTGTCATAAAAATATTCAAGGTTTTGCTTCCATCATAGTTTCAGAGAAAAAGATCCAAAATCTCATCACCCTTTGTCAGAATTTTTCTTCGCCTTATTTCTGTCTTGTATGTGAGACCTCCAATTTTTAAACTATAATTCTAGATTCTCCTATAAGAGGAAACATCCTCTCCACATCCATCCTGTCAAGACCCTCAGGATCTTATATGTTTTTGATTGAATCACCTCTTACTAGCCTAAACTCCAGTGGACACAAGCCTTGCCTATTCAACCTTTCGTTTTAAGACAACCCAGCCATTCCAGGTAATAGTTTAGTCAATCTCCTCCGTACAGAGTTCATACTTGAGGTTGATGAAAAACTGAGAAGAATTTAAAGCAGAGCATCGGAGGATGATGAGATTTGAGACAGTTGTAGAAAAAGGGTATCTCCAGGGGAGATAAAATCATCAATGATGTGTCAGATTGTGGTTTACTGGGTGATAATGAAGTCATGGCCAAATAGAAGAGTTTATTGAAAGTAATTCAGTCCCAGTAGGTAGAGGTCCTTGAACATCAAAACAATATCACAAACCACGAGAGCAAACTTGATGACACAGTCAGGGTTTGAAATTGAAGAGCCAGAAGTTCAGACAGAGATGGATTAGTCAGTTGGGGGATTAAGGAAACACAAACAGCTGATATTGAACCTCCTGTTCTCAACGTAAAGATTGGAAGAAGGCAAACTGCCAGGAAATTGCATAATCTTTGTTTAAACAAAACTGGTGGTGAGTCGCCCTTAATTTCCTAACAGCACGTTTGAAAATTAGGAAGAAGTCATTGTTCACATTGATCCACCCTCATTAACAGCAGCATCAAACCATGAATGAGACAAAGCATCCCAAAGGGAGGCTGGGCCTACTCTTTAACTCATAAATGATAGGCAAACTACTTTTTGTGATGTCGATTGAAGGATAGGCATTGGCCAGAACAGAGGGTTTAACTTCCTTGCTCTTCTGTACAAATCATGGTGGGTGACCTTTCTCATTAACACAAGAGGGCAGATAGGGCCTCGATTTCTAGTTTCATCGAAAATGCAGACATCTCTTACAGAGCAACACCTCTTCAGTACTGCTCTGAAGTGTAGCTTAGGTTGTAGCACTTGAGTCCTAGAATGGGACATGAGCCCACACTGTTCCAATTTGAAGGGTGAGAGTGGTACCAAGTGAGCCCTGTTGAGACACAAGGGCAGTTGCTAAAGTATGTGACAAATATTTGTGTGTGTTATTATGTGATTAATTATTGACTATGAATTTGCAAATTTCAGAATTTTTTGGAAGACAATATTATTACAGTTTGACACATTATATTTTAATGAGAAGCCAACAGCACACACTTTCTTGAAGAGATATGACACCAACTGGAAGCTCTTGGTAAGCTGACACCAGATGGATCCCCAGGTGAGGCTAGTTGAGTCAAATCATTGGGAGACTGCCTAAAAAAGGCAGAACACTGGAAATTTTAAAATTCCAAAGTATAGGTTAAATTGGATGTGTTAATCAAATCTGTAAGTGCATTCAGCCCATAAGAATCCTTTATCAAAATGGTTCATAACGGTACATATCTATTACCATGCCTGTAATGAATTGGATGTCATCCCATACTGCATGCTATCGCAACAGCTGAGACCCGTCATTTCCTGTACCCTTCTTTAATAAATGAATAACCAGCTTAAATTTATTAAAAATCTTGTGCTTATAAACTTCAATCGTCTTAATTCAAATTCATTAAAAAAAACCTTCAAAATTCCTTCTAGACAAATCATTAACAAGTATCAGGGCTGAGGCAGCAGTTTGAAGCTCATGATTCTGTAGCTCTCCCTTGCCTGGTTGTTATCACATATGTTCCTGCTAACCTCATACAGAAGTCCCTTGCTGTAGTATTCTTTGTTCCTGAAGCTTTAATTGAAGGCCATTACAATCTATATTTCTGCTCTCTCTCTGTCTAGATGTACCAGGTTTCATTGCATTCATCGCATTGCCATTGAAGAGCACACAGCATCGTTCTCACTTTACTTTCAATGTACTAAAGCCTTCAATTGAGATTCATGGTGAAGCGTTGTAAAAGGTCCCTCATTATCAGGTATGTAGCTTGTTAAAATGCCATAGTTAGCTGCAGAAAATAGTCAAGAAGGCTAATTGAATACTGACCTTCATATCTAAAGGGCTGGAGTATAAGGATGCAGATGCTTTGGCACAGTTAGAGAGGCAATGGGCTAGTGGTATTATCACTAGACTATTAATCCAGAGACCCAAGTAACGATGTGGGGACACAGATTCGAATCCTGTCATAGCAGATCGTGGAATTTGAATTCAATAAATATCTGGAATTCAGAGGCTAATGATGACCATGAAACCATTGTTGACTGTCAGGGATAAACCTATCTGGTTCACTAATGTCCTTTAGGGAAGAAAACTGCCATCCTTACCTGGTCTGGCCTACATGTGACTCCAGACCCACAGCAATGTGGTTGATACTTAACTGCCCTCTGGGCAATTAGGGATGGACAATAAATGCTGGCTTGGCCCATGATGCCCACATCCTATGAATGAATAAAAAAAGTTATACAAACCCATAGTTAGATCCCACTGAGAGTACTGTGAGCAGATCTGGGCAGTTTACCTTAGGAAAGATGTTTTGGCCTTGGAGTTCAACACACATTTTCAAGGATGATACTTGCACTTCAGGGGTTAAGTTATATGGAGAGATTAGACAAATTTAGCCTTTATTCTCTAGAATACTCTCTCACAAATGCTCCTTTTTGTAACTTTGTAGGGCCTTTTAACACTTGTGCTATCCATGGAAAAAGAAATGGATGATGGTACAACCTGACCTGACTGTTGCTTCTCTGCTTCATCCTCTAAAACAGAGATATTAACAAATACCCAGTACAATACTAACTGTGGTATCACACGTAGAAATACAACAGCACAACAGTAGATACAAGGGCTCTTCAAAACCATTTGTTTCAATAGGAAAATAGGATAAATACTTCAGCAATGACCTGGCAATAATACAATCTCATTATTGATCTCTTTAAACTGATTTTCACATTCAGCATGAATATCAGTGGTGAAGAAAGCTGAATACCCAGTTTACATGCGTGGGGAAAGAAATATATTACAGAAAACTGAACAAATGTTGTTGTCATTTTATTATGTGTTAATTGACATTTGCTCACAAACTTAGCTTGCAACTCTCAATTAAGTCAGTTTGGGTATGAAATCCTAATGCTGAGCATGACTTTCTGACTGAAGGGTCAATTCAACTCCAGAGGAGCCACAAGTTGAGGATGTCAGGTCTGCATGTTTTAATGTTTTAAAAAGTTACAAGCTAACATGTTTAAGTGCAATAACACCGTACAGTGAAGACTTATCTATGACTCAAAATAACTCATTAGGGTGTAATCTTTACCTTTCACTTAATGTTGCATTCTCATTTAAATTTCAGACTGAAGACTTTGCTCATTCAATTGCATTCTTCAATTGCCTGTTATATTGAAGGTGCAGGCCTTAATTGTGTAATAGAATGACTCGAAGACATACGAATGTTGGGATGATAAGAACTGTGAGAAGGTATCAACCAATTGTTTCTTTTTAAAATATACCATTAAGTATAATGGAGTGAATCAGAGGGCAGCTGAAAGTCATCACAGTGGAGTTCTGGGAGAATTGCCACAGTCACCATGACTGTACAGCAGGTCAGGGAGAGTCTGCATTGTGGGCCGAAGGGCCTGTACTGTAAATATAAAAAAAAGGCCTATTGAAGTTCACATTTTCATTGCAGCATTTTGAGCATTCATCTGTTAGTCTCTACAATCCAGAATGCTTAATTATTTCAAAGTGTGAGGTGATTCACTTTGGAAGGAGTAACAGGAGTACAGAGTACTGGGCTAATGGTAAGATTCTTGGTAGTGTGGATGAGCAGAGAGATCTCGGTGTCCATGTGCATAGATCACTGAAAGTTGCCACCCAGGTTGATAGCGTTGTTAAGAAGGCGTACGGTGTGTTAGGTTTTATTGGTGGAGGGATTGAGTTTCGGAGCCATGAGGTCATGTTGCAGCTGTACAAAACTCTGGTGCGGCCGCACTTGGAGTATTGCGTACAGTTCTGGTCACCGCGTTATAGGAAGGATGTGGAAGCATTGGAAAGGGTGCAGAGGAGATTTACCAGGATGTTGCCTGGTACGGAGGGAAGGTCTTATGAGGAAAAGCTGAGGGACTTGAGGCTGTTTTTGTTAGAGAGAAGGTTAAGAGGTGACTTGATAGAGACATACAAGATGATCAGAGGATTAGATAGGGTGGACAGTGGGAGCCTTTATCCTCGGATGGTGATGGCTAGCACGAGGGGACATAGGTTTAAATTGAAGGGTGATAGATATAGGACAGATGTCAGAGGTAGGTTCTTTACTCAGAGAGTAGTAAGGGCGTGGAATGCCCTGCCTGCAAAAGTAGTAGATTTGCCAACTTTAAGGGCATTTAAATGGTCATTGGATAAACATATGGATGATAATGGAATAGTGTAGGTTAGATAGGCTTCAGATTGGTTTCACAGGTCAGCGCAACATCGAGGGCCGAAGGGCCTGTACTGCGCTGTAATGTTCTATGTTCTAAATCTTTACCAGTCCACATCCAAATCCAAACTTTCAGGAGGAACAACTCTTTGTAGTGTCAATTTTATAATTACCTCTTGATCTAAATTTATGTTCTGTGTTTAATAATTGGGTTTAATTTATAACCATAAATACTGCAGGTTTTTCGTAAGGAAAGCTAGCATGATTACTACTTCCCCTTGGGGAAGAAAACTTGTTACCCAGATCTTGGCTGGTGTAGTAATAACTCCACTATCACACTACTTGTTAACTGTTAATACTCTCAAGGGAATCCATATATCAGCAATAAATGCTGCTTTGCCTGTGTGCTCACATGTCATGCCATGCAGAAATAAAAGTAAATTATAGGCATATTTGAATTTGACTTGTTGTAAAACTAAAATTAAGTCTCAAAATTTTACTTGGTGAGCTCACTTTTATTTCTAGATTTTGGAGCTTCTGTTTTTCTAATTATTCCTCCTGTCTCATCTCTTTTACACTCAGCAATCTTCTTCATTTACATTCACTTCAAAGCATAGGTAGAGTTTTTTTTTCCATGGTGTTCAGAATGGTTAGATAGAAATTCTGATTAGCAATGCTTATGTTGAGCAATAAGCACATTTATTCAATTTCTGTGTGCATTGTATGAGTCTTGCTGGCATTCATAATTGCCCTTTGTGATGAGCTGTCTTCTCGAGGGGCTACAGTCCATGTGGTACAGGTACATCTACAGTTCTGTCAGGAAGGGTATCCCAAGATTTTGAACGAGCAACATTCTTCAATGTTGAATTCCAATATAGTTCCCAGTCAGGATGGCATGTGGCTTGGAGGGGAACATATTGATGGTCTTGTTCCCATGTATCTGTTGCCCTTATCTTTCTTGGTTGTAGAGGTTGCTGATTTAGAAAGTGCTGTTGAAAGACCCTTGGTGAGATGCTACAGTGCATCTTGCATATGGTACATACTGCTGTCACTGTGCAGAAGTGCTGAAGGCAGTAAATGTTTACGTTGGTAGATGGGGCAGTGATCAAGAGGGTTGCTTTATTTTCAGTTGTATTGAACTTCTTGAATGTTATTGAAGCTACTGTCATTCAGCTAAATGATGATCATTTCTTCACACTCCTGAATAGTGGTGTATAGAGGCATCTTTGTTATATTATACAGGCATGATATGTACATCAAATGATATGTGCTGCATTCCTAACCTCTGACCGTTCTTGTATATGGCTGGTTCAGTTCAGTTTCTGGTCCAACTTAACCTCCAGGATTTGGACACAATAAGGCTTGCAGATGCTGGAAGCCAGAGTCCATAGATGTCAGACAGCATTGAGGAGGAGGAAAGTCGATGTTTCCAGCAGAACCCTTCGTCAGGACTGGGGAGGGGGTGGGGAGTCCAGAAATAAATAGAGGGTGGGGGTGGGGCTGGGGCTGGGGCTGGGGCAGGGGCAATGGTAGGAGATATGGTGATTGGTGGATGTAGGTTATTGTGATTGGTCTGTGGGAAGGGTGGAGCAGATAAATGAGTAGGAAGATGGACAGGTTAGGTCAGGGAGGGGAGGTGAGGAGGAGTGGGAGGGCTGGATGTGGGATAAAGCTGGGGGTGGAGGGAGTTTGAAGCTGGTGAAGTCAATGTTGAGGCCATTGGGCTATAAGCTCCTAAGGCAAAATATCAGGTGTTGTTCCTTCAGTTTACATTTGGCCTCATTCTGACAGTGGAGGAGGCCCATTGATGGACATGTCGTCAGGGAAGTGGGAGGGGGAATCAAAATGGATAGTAACCGGAAGGTAGGATTGGTTAGTGCATGCAGAGCACAGATGGAGGTGAGAGGGAAGGTGTAGTCAGGTGTTGCACCTCTAGTGGTTGCAGGGAAAGGTATCAGTGTGGTGGAGAAATTGGTGTGGAGTGTAGAGCTGACAAGGGAGTCACGGAATGGACGGTCCCTGTAGAAAGCAGAGAGGTTTGGGGAGGAAAATATACTTTTGGTGGTTGAGTCTGATTGCAGGTGACTTCAACAGCTTCAAAATCCCTCCACCCCCAGCCTTAGCCCATGTTCAGCCCTCGCCCACCTCCTCACATCCCTGACCTGACCTAACCTGTCCATCTTCCTACTCACCTATCCGCTCCACACTTTCCATGGACCAATCACAATAACATCTGTCACCATCTCTTCTATCCTTCCCCCAGCCCCATCTCCTCCCTCTATTTACTTCTGGGCTTCCCTTCCCCTCCCCAGTCCTGATGAAGGGTTTCGACCCAAAATGCTGACTTCCCTGTTCCTCGGATGCTGTCTGACCTGCTGTGTTTTTCCAACCTCACACCTATAGACTTAAGCTCCAGGATGTTGAATATTAGGAATTCAGCAATTCATGTCAAGTAATGTAAATTAATTATCAATTCATGTAAATTAATGTCAAGGGACAATAGTTAACTTCTCTCTTGTTGGAAATAGTCATTGCCTGGCACTTGTGTGACATGAATGTTACCTGCCACTTATCAGCCCAAATCTGGATGTTATCCAGATCTTGTTGCATATGGATTTCTTCAGTATCTGAGGATTTGCAACAATAGTAAACATTCTCTATGCACCTGCAAATGTCGCCATCTCTCTCCTTATGATGGACAAAAGGCCATTGAAGCAATTGAAAACTGGTTGGGCCTAAGACATGGTCCTGAAGAAGTCCTGCAGTAATGTCCTGGGGCTGAGATGACTGGCATCCAACAACCAAAACCATCTTCCTTTATTCCAGGTATGAACCCAACCAGTGGAGAGTTTCCCCTTGATTTCCATTGATTTCAACTTAGCTGGGACTCCTCGATACTGCATTTCACTAAATGCTGTTTTGATGACATGGGCAGTCACTCACACTTCTTTAAGCCATATAAGCAGGTGTGATGCCAACAAATCTTAGTGCCAACGTGTTCAATTGGAGCTTTTGCAATATGTTTTCATAACTATTGATGACATCTAAATGTTATTTCAGATGGTGGTAACTTCTGTTCACAAAGGTTGTCAGATTAGATGTCCAAAGCAGTGAAATTAGCTCATGGTGATTTTAAGAGATTGAGGAGATTTAGTAGACTTAATGTAGACCAGCAATCAACCATGCTCATGAAATTGACTGACACAAACAACCAAGACAGTAAAAAAAAAGCCAGAGATAGTTATGATCTAGCTGCTCAAAGTTCTAGACAGACTGCACCTTGAGACACAAGTTACATTTCTGGTCCTCATGTAAAGGGGAAACATGCATGAGCAGCATTGAATAAATCTTGAGGCCAATCCCTAATGCTGATGGTCTGAGTTGTGAGAATAATCTCAGAGAAACGTGTGATCGTGTAAAATAGGTGATATGAAATCAGCCACCAAGTAAACTTAGAATCATAAAATCCTTACAATGCAGATAGAGGCTGTTTGGCTTGTCAATCTGTGCTGAACCTCCAAAGAGCCACCTACCCAGACACACTCCCTGATCTTAACCCTGTAGACCTGCATTTACCATGGCTAATCCACCTAGCCTACACATCCCTGGGCACTATCAGCAATTTAATATGGCCCCTCCACCCAATCTGCTCGTCTTTGGACTGTGCAAAGAAACCATAGCATCCAAAGGAAACCCATGTAGACACAAGGAGAACCTGCAAACTCCACACAGACAGTCACCTGAGGCTGGAATCAAACCCAGGTCCCTGACACTGAGGCAGCTGTGCTAAACATTGAGCCACCATGCCATTTTCATTCCTATTAAGTTCATAGAATTGGAAGGGTTGTATAGCATGGAACTGGTGCAGTATCACCCATTTTGCACTATCACATAAGGTTAAATCACTTAGCAGCTTTCTGATCTCTTGGCATTTAATGTTCAAAAGGATAGGATCAGACAGAGGCATGTAATACAGTAAATGATTTTGAAAAGAATAATTGAGAATACTACTTTAAAATAGAGAACTGGAATAGCTCAGGGGCATACAGATGCATAGCAATAA